CTCAAAATGTGTTAGTCCATTTCTTATATCCTCAATAAATATATATGAAATGAAAAAAGAAAGAAATGAAAAAAGAAGAAATGAAAATATGAAATAAATAGACGTAGGGGAGCTTCTCAAATAAGCTGCATCGGGCGAGAGGAGATCAAGGATTTTTGAGCAGAGCACCCAAGTCATTTGAAACCACGGCAACCACTTTTTTGTATTTTTTGCCAGTAAGGATTGTGCTAAGGTACAATCTTAAGCCAAGAAGTAGAGAATTTCCAACTATGCTTAAGGCCAAGAAGCCCTGGAAGCACAGGTCCTTATGGGGCATTAAAAACCACTGGTGACACTAAGACTGAGCTCAGGAGAAAGGAGAAACGATGAAGTGCTTTCCCTCACCAAGGCTTTGGTCCAGCTAGTACTGTAAGTAACTTACCCATTCGAATGTCCCCCTAACGACATAATCGCCAAACCCTTCTTTTATGAATTACTTCTGCTCCTTCTACCTCACCAAAAGGCCACCAAGACTAATTCAAAAGTTGAAGCCGCGCTATTGCAAGATACGAGGCCATCTAATATAGGATTGAGCCTATGAGGAGGCTAGATCTTCAGGTGAAAACTGCTCAAATCCGGCAATTTCCCCGCTCGAAGTTTGATCCTTTTTTTATAGAAAGGGAGGTGTTTTACACAACTTCGAATCCATTCACCTCTTTATCATGCAATAGTGCCGTCGGAATTTTGAGGCTGTTTCGTCAAACGAGCGTGTAGGTCAAGAGTGGCTAGCGACCCTCGGTAGAAACTCAGCGCTGAGCGTGACTCACGATCAGATCCTTAGTATAGCCCGATTCTTCAAAAAATTTTATTTAGATGGTCGTTGACGCGAGGAAGAACACTAGCGCTATGAAAAGCTTGATAATTGACCTCGGGAAGAACTACAAGGGATCGAAAGCCGTCGTCAAGGAGTTGGCTCTGCCCGACAACCGCGTCTTCCAAGTAAGCTTCTTTCTGCTCAATTTTTCCAATCTCTGATCGCATACAATGCCTTTGAGGATGAAGATAAGCCACCGAAAAGCGGAACAACTGGCGATGATGATGATGAATCCTTCCTGGAAGATGACGAGAACAGCGAAAATGAGGGTGGTAACTCTACCACGGTGGAGGCGAACGACGACGAGGACGTCTGTTCTTTGCATTGGACCATAGTGCAGAGCCATGGAGTCAGCCAATCTAGTCTTTCTAGGCGATCGCGCAAGAAGCTGTTCCTGATCTGGAGAATTCGAAAGACAAACCATGCTCAATGAAACATCTTATGTATGTGGAGAAAACCGAGCGGGCGGGATGTAGTGAAGCCTGGAGTGAGTTCAACCTTAGTTACTTGGTTCCGCCCATTTCTACTGAAACCGCTTGTGTTCAGAGTTCGCACACGAAGTATGCCAGGGGTTCTTTGACTGTATGAAACAACCAGAAGCTTTATATCAAACTTGTGAGCCAAGGTACGATATATAGTCCATTGGTGAAAGTTAGAACGATGGAATGTAGCTACTGATTTCAGAATCTGTTCACAATACAACGAACTCACTCCGAATCCTCCTTGCGTGAAGCCTCTTTTTACCTGCACTTGAAAGTCACTGCTAGACAATAAAGGGTTTCTTTCGATGTGTAATCACACAGGAAACAACGGCATAATGGCTTAAAACAAAATGTGCCCTTCGCCATTGAAGACAGAGATTGCTTTCGCAAAATATTCTCTAGTCATGCTCTAGAAAGTAACGTGAAAGCACGTTTTCGGGCAGGCCTGCTACCCGTGAAAGCACGTTTTCGTCTGTAGTTGTACACATAAGGTCGGAGTGCAACTACGTATCCACACATGTAGCGATTTTACGTGGCGTTGAGTGCGTGGCGTACATCGAAGCAGAACCGTCGAATTTTAGCAGTCATGAAAGGCATGCACAAGGATCAAACTGATGTGGTTATTGCACAAAATGAATGCATTGGTGGGAAGAATGTCGGCGTAGAGAATAAAAAAAGCGCCTAACGTTAAGGGCTCGCTCACTTGTACCAAAGCATTGAGATAGTGGGCGCAGAGGAGAGAGGATAGGCGGGAGACTACAAGGGACGAAAGAGCGCAGACAGCTGTATGCTGCAGACTATAAAAATTGAAGCGGTTGAAGTATTAGGTTGAGCAATAATTATCCGCCGTTTTTTCAGGCTCATGGTTCTTTGATTTTTTGCTGATTATTTTCAAAGGTTATGATGTAGTCTGAAAGCGCTCAATCTCTTGTACATTTTGAACAACACTTGTGTATTTACTTCACTATGGAGCTTACACACTAGCAAAAAAGATTGCCCCTGCTACATGAGTGCAAGTTGAGCTCGAAACCGAATGCTTCTGCATCTGCTCGTAGAATCAATGAAGCCTGGGATGAAGGCACGGTTGCAGAGAGGACTGTTCGAGAGCGTTTGTTGATTACGCATTTATTGTTGTTTTTGTTTGGTTTTGTTAATAAACTTATGAGTGGATGGAAACGGCGGATAGTTTTGCTCAACCTAATATTTGCAAGACACTAGCGCACTTTTCCAGGCGTGAGAGTGGCACATCCGTGATTACCCTCTAGGGCTCTATCCTACAGACCACGGGGATCGCTAACCTATCGCCTAAATTTTTCTTATGAAAGGTCCTGGAGGGATTCCCAACACAACCAACATGAATCCCTCCAGCAATTGATGTTAGTGGCCTTTAAAGGCAAGAATCAGGATTACATTGATGGGTTGATTCCACTCAAATGTGAAAGTAGGGATGGGAGGTGGACCGCCAGTGGAGAAAAAAGAAAGAAAATCCTGAAAATAATACGAGCATTTTGCTCTATGCTGTGGAGAAGTTCAAAAGACAGGCAGGGAGATGAGAGATAATGTGAGCGCGGAGAGTGGTAGAGAAGTCCGAGAAGAGAGAGCATAGCAGATCAACGTGGCGACGCAGACAAGATATCGAACGGTGGGCGGACCATGTTAAGTTTGGTGGAGTCTGTTAGAAGTCCATGGCGCCTAGGGTCCTAGTGACGCGTTTCGATGTAGAAAGGTGGCGCTACCTTTGCACTTGCGTACCCAGCACTTCTAGCCATGGTAAGGGCTTCTTAGGTGGGTCTGAGCCCGAACTTTGCCTTTAACCTGCTCTATCTTGGTACAGCTTGGTACTCCACCTCCAGACTCCAGATGTGCGACGAACAGGGTTTAGCGGCAGTGTGTGAGTCGTGCTTAGTCATGGGATTATTAGCTGGATCCCTACTGTAGGCAAATGGTGACTACGATGACATGAGCTGCAAGAGGTGAAGACGGTGGCGAGGGCGAGGATGGCATTCAAACGCGGCAACGGCTCGACGCGGTAGGTACGACAGAAGCGACAAACTGAGAGACGGCCGGTTCACGCGGCACCCACTGACTGGTTCCATACGACCTCGGGTCTGGAGGCCCGCACGAACTACTTCTCACCCCGTCAACTGTGCTGTATTCCGCTATGTTCCACCGATGAATGTGTTATTCTTTGGACTTGCACTGGCTGTGCACCAAAGGGGTGAATCCCCGACTTATCACTGTAGAGGATTAGGCCATCGCAAGCCCCTCAGACCTAGAGCATTTCCAGGCTTTTTCGCTTAGACCTACAAATCTGTGGATGTTTGCCGACATTTGTAACGCTGAGTTGGCCATTGCATAAGGCGAGGACACGCGAACCAAAGCGGACCTTAACTGTGCTTACGAGCCAGATTCTCTTTTAATTCACTGTATTGGTGTGAACGCTTCTGTAGCCACAACCAATATGTTATAACACGATGAATGTGGACTAACCTACAGGCAGAATTTTAAACTCTGGAACAATTCTACCGAGACTAAAAGTATCTAGACAAGATCGCGAACACTCACTAGGCTCTTCTTGAAGGCACTAAACTTGGTGTGGTAATCCCACTCGAATCTGAAAGTGAGGATGCGAGTTGGGTCAAAAGGGCCGAGGAATGGGAGAAATATCGTCAAATACACAGGAAATATACTAAATTCCTCGCTCTGCGCTGCACAGAAGGCTGAGAGACAGACGGCGAAATATAAAATTAAGTTGTGGAGCATTTGAACTAGTACACATAAAGCCAAGATTTATGGAAAGTCGAACATGGGAGCTTGTGCGCATTCTACTGGATGTAGGGTATCGTTCATAGTTCGCGAATCAGTCGATTAAGCCTGTGAGCCGTCGTTCAGTAGGCGGAGCAAACAGACCGATGAGTGGCAACCTCACTTGTCAACTGCCTGAGATGCCTGGGCTCGTCCACACGCCTGATCCATATTTATCTTTTCCATCTAGCCTTGTAATGATGCCGTGTGTGCGACCTCGAACTATGAACTTACAAAAGTGCAGAGTTAGCTGGGACGCAGCATGCTGATGGTTTAATTTCACAATCATTTGACGATACAGATTGCAAGGCCGACAGAGGGACTTCATTTGCAGGTTACCATATATATCAATGAAGTCGATATTGTCGTATTCACTACTCGCATGTTCGGCGACTTCTGCGAGCTTTTTTGGAAGAGGACAATTTTTGAGGAGTTATTTCTTACAACGACATGCAAGGGCAGCAGACAAAGATTTGAGCCCAAGCTCGGAATCGATTTTGATCACAAAGAGGAACCAACATGTTCTCAGACGGCGACGCAGCTCTGCAGGAAAGAATCCCAAAAAACGCGACATTCGTGATAACGTCTTTGTAAGTGCAAATTGTTCATTCGGCACTCATGTACATACTTGGGAGAGGGGGGAGGCGAACACTCGAAACAGGGCATCAAAAAGAGATGGTAGGTACACTGGGACTAGAAGAGAGAAGAAACGCCAGGGTGCACAATAATTGCTCACTCCCTAGGGTTTGATCCAGTACTGCTAAGCTGACACACTTCATCTTAGCATGCCGGTTACAAGGCTTCTGTCAACCAAAGGGTGAGAGCGTAGCTGGAAAAGCACACACTTTGTGTCTTATTGGGACTAAGCCTTTTGAAGAAGATAAAGAAAGAGGAGATGCTGTGATAGTGTGCACTTGTGAGAGCTCCCAGACATCACTACAAAACGCTGAACCGCCAAGGCTCGCGGTTGACAGATGTCCTGAGACCCTATGGTGCCCCCCTCTCCAGTCCCAACAGAAAAATAGGAAAAGCTGAAAAAGACATCACCATGCTATCGAAGGCAGCGTTGCGAGATTAATGAGGATTGCGAACATATAAGCAAAGAGAGCACTAAAAGTACTGTTGATATCGTTATAACTGATTTTAGATACATGTCTACTATCGCTTGGATGGAGACTGCCAAATTCTTTAGGCCCATGCTCCTTAAGACTTCGCCGAAAGCGTGATTCGCTAGCGTTCCGCCGGTACGTCGCGCCAGCGAATCACTCAATTTCTGAGTACGCGCAGCGCTTAGCGAATCGTTCGCGATTCGAAAGTCCGGCCAGCGCCTTATGCCTCGTTCATAGTTCGCGACGCGGAGATTATCGATGTAAGCGACAGGATATTGCGGTAGTATAGGAGTTAGGAGATGGCGCTTACGGATTTAGATACGAAATACCGATGCCTGATTAGGCCTCTTCAACGACCACGTTCACTCAATCTAACTTTGTCAGCGCACAATCCTAATCTACTACCATTCTATAATCTACTACTTTACTACTATCCTACTATCGTAATATCGCAATCTACTACTCTCCGGCGATTTCAATCGATACGTATCTAATCTTGTCAGCGCAATCTCCTACTCTACTACTATCCTAATCTACTACTATCCTAATCTCGCCGTCAATACATATTTTTCATTGTCGCGTACTATCCTAATCTCCGGAGTCGCGAACTATGAACGCGGCCTTAGGATACCCCTTTTTTATCCCTACTTATCTCATCTTTTCGGTTCACTCTACCAATCTTCTGGTCTCTAATCTCTCGAATTGTATGTATGACGCAGCCGTTCTCTGCCACTCATCCCAGTAAGGTTTCTCTGGAATGCTCATTAATTTTGCGCCAACGTCATTTGCTAAACTGCAATCGTGAAAGCAGGTCAAGAAAAATGCTGCCGATCTTGAGATGTTCCCGTAGCAATACGAGAAGTAGTTTACAAATGACGTATGTGCGCAAAATCAATGAGCATTCCAGGAAACTCCTTACTGGGGTGGGTTGCAGAGAAAGGCCGCGCTCATACATATAAGTTTTGAGAGATTTAGAGACCGGCACCTCCCTTAAGGTGCGTGACGATTCAATCGTGGCGATAGCTAGGTCGCCGCGCCAGCCGCCGCAGCCCGCGATGCGACGTCGGCCGTGGTTAGAATTCAGGGTTCTAGCATTGGGGAATGTAGGATTAGATGAAGTTCCCAGTCGTGAAAAACGGTATATGATCACCTGCCCCCTTAAAATACAGGATCCTTGTCCTTTGCCATTATTTACAAACTTATTCTGTCATACTGATGTTATGCCTTCCTCACCGTTCCACTGCGTCTTGGAACGTATTTTCCCGAAAAATAAATATAACTGCGGAGATCTTAAGGTGACTCTTGTTGGCTCACTGATGTCTGGAACTTTGGTCTTATCAGTTCTCTAACCCCACCAGCAACTTATGGACAAGGACCGCTAAGCCAAGGCCCATACAAAAATCGCCGCACCATTTGCCGCGCGCGACGCTGCCCGCCGCGTGAGCGGCGTGACCTCATTAGCCGACGATTGAATTGACCGTCTCCCCTTTCACACTCTCCCGCTACCTTTATACCTCTTATCAATCACTTCATTATATAAACCAGAAGTTTGGTGTGTCGGTTTGTTTGTGCGTGTTTGCACGTCTGTCTGTCCGTCCGCAAAATGGTCGACTAGAGGCGAAAGATATCGTGATTGTGATACCACTTTCCTACCAGTATAAGAACAACCATTCAGTAGGATCGAATTCATTTCGGGGGGTTTGGCTGTAAAGCAAGAGCTAAAGATTGATCAGTGCTAAGGATTAGGCAGTCACCACGCGACGTCGTACACGCGGCTTGCCGCGTGCGGGAAACCGCGCGACAAATTCGAGCGAGGTTTTAGGCATTTACTGCTTCCCGCGCCTGTGTATTCGTCAGTTACTTTCCTTTGTTTCCTTTTACTTTCGTTTTAATTTTTCTCCCAATCCTTCTCGATTTTTTCTTTTCATTAAATTTGACTCAAGCGTTCGCGTTGACACTAGAGCGTTCATACTTACAAGTGTTATGTGAGGTGGTACCGGGACACTGTGGGTGAAATAGGATGATAGAAACTAATAAGGCTGTCAGGGCGCCTTGAACTCACAAGGGCGACAAAAATGATAGCAGGGCGACAAAAACTGATAGTAGGGGGCTGATAAGGAGTCTTAGAAGGCAGAAGTCGGCAATTCCATTGCGCAGTTCACGTTGGCACTATGGGGCTCTTAAGTGTTATTAGGGTGGGTCGTGGACATTCTATCGATATAATCAGCTTGGCTTGAGCAGACTCTTGGCGAATGGTACATTCCATTCTTGATCTAATACCAAGATAGGATGTGCGAACACTGTGAATGAAGGATCAGCATTAGATGCTCACTTATGATAATGTTGCAATTTAATTGTGAGGCTAACACCATAACCCTATTCACCGCTAAATTATCAAAATTCAGGAGAATGGCCGAGTGTTTACAGAGCTATGTGTGATAAATATACCTGGAGTGCCTGCGGAATCTTAGGTCGTATGATACGCGCGATACCGGCGGAGCAGGGAAATACATGTATTGTGTCCTTCATAAATCAAATCTTGCGGTGATTTTGCAGTGAACAACTTGCTGCGTAAGCCTGTAGCGCGCGACGGCGCGGATTTCTTAATGGTTTCGCAAGCCGTACTTCTGTTTCCAACCAAACTGAGCGGTACAGATTGATGGTTGGAGTGTGTCCGCTCTTCCGAGAAAAAAGTGCTGATAAGAATTTGGAAACTCCTTCAATTTTTGCAGATCTATTTCGACGGCAGAAAAGATGAGAAAGATACCGAGAAGTGGATGGGTGGCATAGTGCCTGCTCTGGAGAAGGGACACAAGGTTAGTGAGGACGTTTTTCGAGTTTGAAGTATCCCGTCTGGTACTTATATGAGATCGTAGGTCCCTGTTAGCGTTGCCGTGTTTTTTGAAGGCTTTTCGTGAATGTGGAACTAAACTTTCGGCTGCGAACTGGGCTACCTTTACAAGGTTAGAGTTGGCTTCAACGAAACTATTCATAGAATATGTTTTTGGATCTGCATTGAAGATGCATTTGTGATTCCGAACAGAGTTTGATGGTGCGTTACACCCCTAAACTGAAAAACAATGCTTCTTCCTTCACCAAGCCAGTCGAGAAACTGTTTCATTCGCTTGCCCAGCTACTCAACTGAGCTGACTATGAGGCAATTTTTTGAAACCCTCAAAAAGTTTTTTAGGTAGCAGAGGGTTCTGAAGGGTATATAATGGATTCCGAAGAAGGTACCTCCATAATCAAAACAACAACGGTGGCACCTACAACTCCTCCAAATGCTGAATCACCGGCATGCTTCCCGGGTCATGCCGCTTGGGCCAAGAGCGAAGAAGGCCAATGTCCCGCAGCCGGGCGTTAGTCACATATTCAAATACTTGACTTTATTTTCTGATCTGTTTATAACGAAAAACTTTAAGGATTTGTGTCCTCTGTGTGTCGATCGTTCCAAGATTGCATGAACGACAAAAGAACGTCGTACTGGATTTGTAAGCCGAAGTAAGTTGTGCAGAGTCAAGGATTCCAACAGAAGCAAGCCAGTGAAGCGGTTTCTTTTCAGGATTTGTTCAGAATATCGGAAAAGAAACGAGAAAAAACCTTGTGCAGTCCATTTATTCAATTGTTCAGAAAAATAAATAGTTTAGGTTTGCTGTCCTTTATTTCCATTTGTTCTCCTCAGTCCCTGCAATAGCAGCGGTATAGGTGATGCACCGGTTAGACACGCTGCAGCTACATGGGTTCTTGAAATTTTAGGCCCTACCGACGGAATTCACGAATTGAGGTCGCTTTTATGTTCTACGGGTATCCTTTCATTTAT